CGACCGGTATGGCGGCGTGATAAAAACGGACAAAAACTTTCGCAAGGAAAGAAATATGTAAATAGAATTTTATCGCACCTATTTTATATCGGCAAATTCAAATGTTTTTGCCTTTATTAATTATTAATAAAATTAATTTGTGTTTTTAAATAATAAAATCATTTGACATACCCGATGCTGCAACAGCAATTGTTCAAAATTTTATCCACTCANATAAAATAGAATATAAATTAGTGAGTTTGATGTTGGTTCAAATCACCCCCCCATACGATACTTACAGATAGAGGGTTGCACCCTGTATCAGCAAGTACGTACGGCGTCGCTTAAAAATTTATCTATGTATCGATCCGAAACTTGCAGAATAAATGCCGTACTGTAATAAATCACCAAAACCCGGGTCAAAATTTTCTGAAAATCAAAAATTTTCCTGGCTTCCGGTATTGCTATTTTTGTACGGCATTAAGTCGAGGTTAATTTTTTTTGTTTAACCTATATACTTTAGAAATGGCTGGGTCAAATGACCCCTTGAAAATTTCCGATGGGCTTGTAGTCTAGATATCATATAGAAAATTAGTATGTAAGTTTATTATTTTATTACTATGTAACATTTTGTTTCAACCAAAAATAGAGCTTACACCACTCAACACAAATTTTATTCAGAAAGATATGCAAATACTGTGCAAGAAGCAGGTTTCTCCATTTTTTTATATCCTTGTCTGAGGATATTTTGAAAAAAAAATCATGTGGGGGCATCTTTACTATTGAATGTTTAAATGAGATGTACACAGAAAAGTAACTTTTAAAGACCAACTAATTTTTAAAACATTTTTTTGTCTTCCTGTAATTATTTAAAATGAATATACCTCGTTTTTGCTTTGGACCCCTCAATTATTAAATACAATAATAAAAATAATAAAATAATAAAATAATTCTATCTTGTCCTATTTTTATAGTTCAGTCGAATTAGATCATAAACCACTGAAAACAAATAAGTGACAAACTTGTGTTTTTTCACTTTTTTTACTGCCCATGAAAATCTAGACGACCTATCAGAAAATTAGTTATTTTATGTTGTTGCCTACAATTTAAGGAGCCTAAAGTCATATTCAATTTATTAACTGTAAAATCAAGATTGAACACGGAAAAATCAATTTTTGAAAATTGCGCAGTATTATTACAAAAAACGATGGATGTTGATGAAATTTATGGAAAAGACGCTCAATCTAATGACCAATACCTGTACCAAAGGCCGATTCGATGTACTGTGAAATAGTTGCTCCGGGAAATTGTTTATTAATTTCGGTTTTTCTTGCTTAATTGTTTAATTACTAAACGTTAATTTTAGAAGTTAATATCGTACATTAGGTTCTAATTTATCCAAAGAAACGTATCGAGAAAGAAAAATTTCAAAAAGTTGAAATTAATTTGCGCTTTACAATTAACAAAGTAGGACGTGCAAAACAGCATTATAACCAAATTGTTCCAGGGTCAGGCAAAAACTTCTAAGGAATTTGCTCTTTTTGTATTAAATAGAGCTTATTTTTACGGTAATTTAAAACAAACAGAAATCACGTACGCCCCTTGGTTCCCAAGATAGCTTTTTAGTTACCATAAAAATAAGCTCTATTTAATGGAAAGAGAGCGAATTCCCGAGCAGATTTTGCCTGACCCTGGGACAATTTATTTATAACGCTGTTTTGCACATCCTACTTTGTTAGTTGTAAAGAGCAACTTTTTTAAATTTTTATTTTTCGATACATTTCTTTGGATCAATTAGATAGAACCTATATCTACGATATTAATTTCTAAAATTAACGTTTAGTAATTAAACAATTAGTTGCAAAACAACGAACGAAATTAATTAACAAATACTTGGAGCAACAAATTCAGGTCAATCGAATCAGCCTTTGGCACATATGTTGGTCATTGGATTGACCGTCTTTTCCATAAATTTGTGCAGTTTTCGAAAATTGATATTTCCGCGTTCAACGTTAACACATTGGTGAAATGTGGCTTTTGGTACATATCTTAAATTGTAGGTAATTTAATTGCCTACAACATAAATTAACTAATTTTCCGATAGGTTGTCTAGATTTCCATAGGCAGTAAAACAAGTGAAAAAAACAGGTAATTTTGCCAATTATTTGCAATTTGCCAACTTAGTGACACTTCTGTCGAGTTAGTTTTCTAATATTATCATTCTACATTCCCTTTACCGCCATAAAGTACAATAAAATGTCTACTAATATTTTTTTTACGTTCTAATTGGACTGTTATATTTTTTCGTAGCTACGGTGACATAATAATACGCCATGGTTGTCGCCATGTTGTTTACTCGTATATCTATTACTGTGTCTTGAAATTCATTTTGAAAAAAAAAAAAATGAGTTCGAGTGGTTCTCAATGGGAGATATCAAAAACAGTGAAAGAAGCAATAGAATATTTACTACCAGAAAAGTTTAGAACAAGGTATGAAAAATAATAGAACAGGTTCAGGGAATATTGTGGTGCAAAAAATTTCAAACGATTTTTTATTGTTTCAAGTCGCCTTGGCCATAAGATTAGCTGGAACCTGTCGTCGAGAAGAGTTGACCAAAATAATGTTAAATGACATCGAGCAACAGAATAATATTAACATTCCCGATTCAAAAACACTTTTAGGTGGAAAATTTGTAATTTATGTTCAGGAAAATGAATATTGCATCAAATATGTTTGACGCCTCTGTACGTAACACAATCGACTGTGTTTATTCTGTAACAAAGGAAAGTATACCACTCAAGTTGTTGAAATTAACTCCATCGATAGCTTCCTACCTAAAATGACCATGTTCTAAAACCTATACAGAACACTGTTTTAGACGGACGTCCTAAGCGTTATTGGCAGACGCCGGAGGAGATTTCATGACATTGAAACGCTACAGTGGATGGAACTCATCCGCTATATAGTCGAGGAAATGAAACAGTGAACCTCCTAAATCTGTGCAGTAAGATGGATTGTGATGCGGTTTTTTGCATTCGATTCGTTAGAGCGTCCAGAAAGTTTGTGACCCTATGTGATCAATGAGAAATGAAAATTGCACCCGTGCATAGAAAAAATGCATTTTTAAAATTGCATCTCGAAGAGTTAAAAAATGAAAAATTGTAACTTGGAGAATATTGACGGAAATGAGTTCAATTTTGCTACTCGGGGGTTTTTGGGGTCGCTGAACACGAATATTATGACGGCAACGGTCTCCGAGGTATCTAGTGCCCAGGGCGGCCGGTTTCCACGTCGTCTCCTAGAGTTTTGCGGAAATTCGTTATAAACTTAGCCGAAACTCGTTACCTCGGTGTTTTTGAGGTTGCTCAACACGAATATCACGACGGTAACGGTTCTCGAGGTACCTAACCCAAGATGGCTGGTTTTTGTGACAACTATTTTATTCTTAATTATTTTTTATTATAAAAATTCATTTATTCATTATAAAAAATATATGTCTTCAAAAAATATTATACTTAGATATCTTTACAATTTTAATTTTTCTTATTTCACGTGTGCGCTATAACTTGGAGCGTATCGGCATATACTAGTATATGTAAGAGTACACATTAGTATAAAAAAAATGTTTCGGGTTATTTATTTAGACATTCGAAAAAGCTTATGAAGATCACATCGGTACCTCGGAGACCATTACCGTTGTGATATTCGTGTTGAGAGACCCCAAAAACCCCGAGGTAATGAGTTTCGGCTAAGTGAGGATTGCTTTCGCTGTACAGCAAGAATAAAACGCTCTCTCAACGGTAATAATAAAGTATTTTATTGAAAACTAAGTTGTATAGAAAAAGACGTGTTGACGGGACGACTGTTTGCTGGAGAGTCCCCGTGTGTGGAGTCGGTCGTAGATATATCAGTACGTACCTGGTGGCCGGCCGGCGCCAGCCCGCCGTAGACCCTTCCTGGAACGTTGGTGCGTCCGGCGACGCTCTTGACGTAATGCTTAAGAATGGGTCACTTGCAAACATGTGTACCCACATAAGTTTATAACGAATTTCCACAAAACTCCAGGAGACGACGTGGAAACCGGCCACCCTAGGCACTAGGTACCTCGGAGACTGTTACCGTCATGATATTCGTGTTCAGCGACCTCAAAAACCCCCGAGTAGCAAAATTGAACTCATTTCCGTCAATATTTTCCAAGTTATAAATTTTTCATATTTTAACTCTTCGAGATGCAATTTTAAAAATGCATTTTTCCTATGCACCGATGCAATTTTCATTTCTCATTGATCAAATAGGGTCACAAACTTTCTAGACGCTCTAACGAATCAAATGCAAAAACTGCATCCATCTTACTGCACAGATTTCGGAGGTAAGGCAGTTTTTAGTGCTTTATTTCCTACACCAATAGCAGAAGGATGATATGTTGCTGATTCGGAAAAAAACAAGATCGGAATAGCAAAGAAAATTGTCAAATCAACGGTAGCAACATACTTGACGATCTCTAATTTTTGCCTTATAATTATGAAAATATTACTAACAATTTTATTAAAACAGATGTGTACATATAGATATTGATATGTCGTAAGAGTATTTATTTTCGCTCATTTTATCCAATAAAAAAGTTAATTTCCTTTTTTTGTATTATTTTATTCACTTTTTACATTACTAAGAGTATTTTTCATTACTAACAGCGTGTCGTAATTACCTATTACCGCACGCTGTAGGTAATACAGGGTCGGAAAGTCCCCATGGTTCATCGGTCGTTACGTGAGAGCGATAAAGCAAGTCATAGAAATCCGTGCGATAGAGAAAGATGGCTATAATGAAGGCGTCTAATAGTCACCGCCCATTTCGCCCTTCCACAAATAAGAAGTGGATCTTATTTGTGGAAGGGCGAAATGGGCGGTGACTATTAGACACTTGCGTACAAATTTACTTAAAGCACAGTTGTAAATAAATATTATCAGTTAATATCGCTGTGTATATGTATACATTGTAACGAAATAAAAGACACACTTACTCTGCATTCGTTTCTGGTGTCGGCAAGTCACCAATAGTGGTCAAAGTGAGCGTGGACCAGTAGAGAGATCCTAAATATTTCCTGGTTAGAGTTGCATAGTCTCCTGGGCGGTAAGGATAGACCCAATCGCCCTGAAATATAATTTTATATTATCATATCAAATAAATTATAAGAAACGAAATATTTATAATAAATTACATCGCATTCTTACCTGGAACCCTTCGGCTTCGGATAATAAAAAATAAAAACATCCAAACCAGTGAGCCAATATCAAAAGAATGTGAATTAAGTTTATCACCCTCCATAAATTCGGCCATACAGTTCTGGATTCTACCATATAGTAATAGTTAACAGCACGATATACCTATAGACACGAAAGAAAATTAGCTGCAGGAAAGCTATTAACAATAGCAATAGATCTAGTAGGTGCTTGTCATACGGAGATTACCGTCAATGGAACAAAGTTTCACCAACCTTTAAAAATCTCGGACACCTGAGCAAGGGGTGCCATCCGAATCTAAACTGCAACAGATCGAGTGGGCACAACGCCGCCAAATCCAGCAAAAAGGCACGGGAACGTAAGTAGTGACAGGCCAGTTTTTTAGAGTCGTACACCATCAGACCCTGCTCCAAATAGCCAGTCCGAAGTTGGACGGCCAAATCCATCAGAAACACCAAATCACTCAGAGAATCACAGGTTAGCCAAAAACTAGTCACCATTTCCTAAAAATTATGGGTAATGAAAAAAGCAATTGTGGTATAACCCATAAAAATTAAGAGAAACTGAGAATATCTACCTGAAGTTCAGGAAAGCTTTGTCGGACAATCAATGTCCAAAGGTTGTATAAAATGCAAATAGTTAGAACTAGGAGCCAATAAAAATAAAAGTTTGAGTCAGGATTAACCACAGTTTTCGGTTGTTTTCGCTGTCTTCGTCTTCTCCTTGGGGCCGATTGATTATCACCTGAAAAACATTAAACCCAGGTATTAATTTTACTAATTAATTATTCTGATTGACAAAAAACTTATTCATGTAATGGATAAGAAGTTATTTTAAGAAATTAAAGAGACAGTGATTACAAATTTTCTACATTTGAATTCAAATCATGAAAAAAACAAAACCTGATGCTATAAATTCTAGTTTTACCTCCTTCACTACCAGTGTCCTCGACAGTTTCTTGAGTTTCAGGTATCTGTCGAGTGGAAAAACGTTGTAAAAAAGAGTCTTCTCGTTTCAGAGGCGGTTTCTGTGAAAGAAAAACATGTTTTGTAAATACTACTAAGAAAATACACGTAAAACTGCACATTGCAAATGTATACGAGTATACTAATAAATTTAAAAAGTATTTATAAGAGATAAAAAACAAAATAAAATAAATAAAAAATATAACATATAATACGTTTTTAATTAAAATTTAAACCCACTGTGTTTTCGGAAATGGTTTACTTCTTTTCTTAAAACAAACAATTTATATAGGGTGTTTCCTAAGTACGGTCGGTAACTTCAGGATGCTATTTCTTATTTTATTTATAAGTTCCTATAAACATGTGCGGTCGGAAACGCTTAGATTCCGAGATACAGGGTGTTGAAAATTTTAAAAAATATAATTAATATTTGAAATAAATTTGGAACAGTCAATGTTAGGTTCTTAAAATTTGGCAGTTATGGTAAGGAGTTGCATTTTTAGTATAAAGTCAATGCGTCAATGGATTTAAAAATTTTTATTATTTTCAGACTCGCCTAACCTTTTTGCAACAAAAAAGTTGTCTAGAATTATTTCCCTGATACTAACTGATACTTAGAAAATGGCCGTCAACTACAGCAATCATAGAAATAATCAGTTTCGACTCAAAATCAAAGCACATGTTGAAAATGGCGGCCTTCTGATAAATCGCACGATTTCAATCGTTTCATCATTGATTGTTTCACTTGTTCAAAAATTCGTTGAAAATTTTATGACATCACAATTTTGAATTATTCAATTTTCATCTAGTACAGGTGTCTTATAGGTACACAAGAGGCTTGAGGTGACCCTATACCCTGCGCGTCCAATCCAGCGATTAGGAAAGGTGTTGTAGAGGTACCATACCAACGAGCAACTCGGCTGAAATGAGCTGAGGCACCGTTCTGCATAAATCAGAAAGCTCTTACGTGTAGAGGTACATCTTATAATAAAACGTTTAGTTCTTCGGCTAAAAACTGCCTATACGAGTCACCATACATTCAGTGAAAATGATTACTGAAAACCACCATCTCTTATTGCATGCGATTTTCGTTTTTATGAAAATTAATAATTGCTTCTAGCGAAGGAGTTGCCTTATAAGTAAATAAAATATTCGTCAAAAAATTGTTATTATGTGCCACTGTATGGAGTAACCACCTACTGAAATCTAGCCTTGACTGAAAATCACGGGGCAGCAGAGCTTGTACCCATTGTATGTGGTATGGAAATAGCTGACAAACTTTCAAAACTTTCCAAACAGTCTTTGGACTTACATGAAGCTGCAATGCTATCTTCCTGGTATTGTTCGAAGGATCTTCTATCTCTCGAAGTATAGCTTCTTCTAACTGTACTGTTGAAGGTCTACCTGGAACTTCCGTACTGCACATAAAACTACCAGTTTCACCCAATCTGAGATGTAGCTTTCTAAATGTTTTAGAACATGACGTTACTCTGTTAGGATAACGTTCCTGACAAATTCACCGTTCTTCTTCCGCATTCCCATTTGCTAAGACGTAGGTGAAATGCATCTGGGCCATTTCAGCGTTAGTAAAGTTATTCATTTTCGAATTTTATTATCTAATCCACAGTTTGGATTGACAACTTATAACTAGCAAAATGCCGACAATCTCGGTAGGTACTAAAGAAGTAACTAAGACAACAAGAAAAGGTATACCATTTTATCTCTTATTTTTGTTGCCGCTGAATTCAATAAATAACTTGTTTTTTTCTTCTAAGAATAGCTTAGTATTAGGCAAAAAATTCAAGGCGCCTTTTTTGTTGTAAAATGTGAGGTGAGTCCGAAAATAATAAAAATTTAAAAAAATCCATTTTACGACGAAAATGTCTGGCGGAAGATAAAAATTGACTTTATAATAAAAATGCAGTTCTTTACCAACGTACAATACTGCCAAATTTTAAGAACCTAATATTGACTGTTCCAAATTTTTCAAATATTAATATATTTTTTAAAATTTTCAACACCCTGTATGTCGGAATCTAAGCGTTTCCGACCACATGCTTATAGGAACATTTTTTCTTTAAATATCATAAGAAATTGTGTCCTGAAGTTACAGACCGTACTTAGGAAATATCCTGTATGCTAGAATGTTTGTTATACAAACTTATACATATACAGGGTGTCCCATAAGCACATGAACAATAAGGTACTGCGACATTCTTTGGCTCAAAAGAAGACGATTTGTCCTAACTTCCATTAAGAAAAAATGTATGGCTCCTCTGCTATTGACTGTCAAAGTTCTTGAAAAAAAAAATGTTTTTGTAATATCTGGTGAATGTTACGATGGATTTCAATGAAACTTGCTGTGGACTTGTTCCTAAGTAAGACTCATGTTTTGATGAAGCAACCGCGTCCATCCGCCTTGGACTAATGGTAAATTCTTGAGTGTCGTGGTACAAGAATTACCAGAAGTTTTTATTTGGTAGCTGGAATCAATTCATTTTATTTGTATTGATGCATCAGTCCTTTTTCGAGATTTTCGTGCTCTTGGTAAAATCTTGTAGCATTCATAGTTTTTACGTAAAAAAATGTTTTCGATTTTAGACATACATTATCAGTACTCACTACTACATTAAAATCCATCGTAACATTCTCCAGATATTACAAAAAACATATTTCTTGCAAGAACTTTGCAGGCATTTTTTCTTAATGGAAGTTAGATCAAATCGTCTTCTTTTGAGCCAAAGAATGTCGCAGTACCATTTTGATCATGTGCTTATGGGACATCCTGTATATGTACTTGTAAAACATGAGACTGTATTAAAAAAACGTGAAAAAGAAGGATAAAAGACCATTACTTAAAATTTTGTCAGTTCAATTAACAATAAAAATACCATTACAATAACGTAAAAAAAAATTCAGTCAATACAACATTGAAATAATGTCACTTACTGTGAACCAATTATTTTTAAAAAATTATACTATCAAAAACAGGATTAATATTTCTTTGTATGAATGAGTTTTTATACGAACATTCAAATGAAAACATGAAACAAATGAGGTTGAAGAACAACTTCACAGAAGAACTTATCAATATTAACATTACATTAACAGCATCAACAACTGCAATACCAATTGAAAACGGAGGCGGTAAATCACACCAAATTTGAAAAAAGAAGTTAGGCAAATTTCTATGCTTAACAAATTGTAATAAAAAATTATAAATGTTGTTAAAGTTTATTAATATCAGATTTTTTATTCAAAACATTAGAAAAATTATTAATACGAACCATTTTAAGAAAAATGTGCGTTTTATAATTAGTCTCATTGTCAGTTTCCAAAACTGTGACATCGACAAAATTCATTTTATGACCTGTTCTTAATGTATGTTCTGAAAGTGCACATCAAGTTTTTTTTTTAAGTACAGGGTAATCCACTCCCCCCTCCCCATTAACTTTTTTGTTTTTAGAGTTATAAAAAAATATGAAATACAAACATACGATCTTTTATAAATTTTTCAAAAATAACAGTAGAAAATCAAATGAAGTCCAAACTAAATGGCCGCGGATATTTAATTTATATAACTTTGTTAATTTAAATGGAATACCCTGTATATTTTTGTGTTGGGTCCATCTCAAAAGAAGGATTTTTATGTAGAAAATAAGATACCTTGTACCTAATTGTTAGACCTCTTTCAGGCATTTCTGTATTTTTTTTAAATTACGTAAAGATTTACAGATTTAATTGTAATATATTTTGACATATCGGACATTGATACGGTCCAAAATGCATATATATAGGTCATGGACAATTTTATATGGTAGATCGTGACAGTGACAGGTTATGCCATGACAACATTTTTATTGTTTGACATTTCGTATTATTTCATAAAAATGTTGCCACGACATTACCTGTCAGTCACTACACGTGACCAGTTTGTCTAATGTAAGTCTGTTTGTAATTGATACCTTCAGTTTTATAAACAATAGATTTTTCAAGTTTATAGTAAGGTTCCTTTGTCTTACAGAAAAGACTATTACATTTAAGTGGATTTTTAAAACCAATTGTAACATTTAAATCCTTAATAATTTGCATTAATTTTGGGGTAAGATCTTTCTTGTGTATTGTTATCAGTCCCACAGTTATTATTAAGAAATCTATTGGGCTGGTGTTTTACTCGCGCTAGTTGGTAGTAAAAATACTTTAGAAAGTAAACCAGCTATATAAATTATTCTGTATTATTGATCTGTTACACTGTATTACATAATATATAAAAAGAAATATTAGGTCAAAAGTGGCGAGAACATCATCGCTTGAGTTCTAGTTTTAATAAGAGTAATAACCGTTTGTTTTTACGATGATTTCTATTGTTAGGAATAAGCCAGGTCCCAGCCCGAAGTAGGAGATAAACGTCACTGAAAAGTTTTTCCGTTCGACCCTTTACAAGTCAAATAACGAAAATTGAGAGCGGAGGCGAAGCTGATAATGCCGCCCCCATGTACCACGCGCCTATACTACACCCTCTTATTCAACGTAATAGTGTATTTGTTAAATGGGTGGCTTTTTAACAGTGGGAGGATTCTCTAAATCTCGTGGCAACTTCTAAAATGAAGAGTTTACTTTATTTTAGCTCCTTTCCGTTTAGAATGCTTATTTATAGAATGTAAGTATATTTAGGTATTTAACATTTTCAACTCTAGATTTAGAATTTTATTTCAGGGTTTTAAATTTCAATTTTGTGATGAATTTTTTTACCCAGACGAATCTCTTAGGTAAAATATAATTATTATATGACCTCCCTAAATGAGGAATTTATATAAATGATAATTTTTGTGGCGTGGCTACGAGCATTTAAAAATATGTTACAGAATCCAGATATACCATTCTTCTCTTACCGTCTGCAAATATTAAATTCCGGCAAGTTCTACACTGCATAAATACTAACATTATCACACTAGTGTAGCGGAAATTAATACAGGGTGTTTCCGAACTGCGTTCCTTGAAAAGGGTGATAAAGGGCACGAAAATAAGCAACTTGTATGACTGATGGTCTAAACGCTTGTTT